TTTCATCTAAAAATAATTAAAAATGTCGATATTTAAGGTAATAATTTTGTATTTCCACGCAATCACAATCGGCTTTAAACGGCTTCCGCAACAAGTCTACCCACAGTAGCATAAAATCTATTGTAACTATCTTAAAATTCGAAGATATTAATATATTTTATATTTCATAGAAATTCATGCGAATAATAAAAATATAGATAAACATTGATTGTGCTAACAAATAAACCATTCACAAGCAATAGAGCAATTACACTAAGTACTGATGGTTTATATTAAAATTTCTCAACCTCTTTTATGACAATTGACATAACTTTCCCCCTTGATAGGGAAAAACAGATCACAGAATATTTTATTCGTTTTTTGATGACTTCAGATGAACTGGCCAAAATTATTTTAAATTCCAGTGTTGCTATCAACTAAATTAATGCCAACAATTGGTAGTATTGTCAGAGGGAGATGGACGAAAACACAAAAACATGACACATCAATTGTTTAAAAATTAACACTACAATAAAAAATAATTAAATACCTATGAGATATAGTGATGACTGTAGTCCGCTTCGAGGGACGATTCATAGATTTAAGTTGGATTTATGCTATGGGGACAGATTAAAGATATTTACAAAATGCTATCTCGCTCACTCATGTAACAGTTATGTTGCCAGCATTATATAATTCTAGACCAATATAGTTTATATTAAAATGGTTTAAAATCAACCACGTCGTATGTAAAGGTAACTTAAATACAGGTTATTGTAGAATTTAAGCTTTGTTTAATTAAAGTTGTAGAGTAAATAAATGTTACGCGGACATGTGTTCGGCAACATGCTTTAGGCACATCCTAAGAAGAACATACAGTCAGTCATCGCGTTTGATGTTGTCGGAAAAGCAGACATAAACAATAAACAGCTAGGGTTGTTAGATCGGGAAGTAATAAAAAAATAAAAAACGAATTTTATTTTATTTCACGTTTAAACAAATTAATGTGTATGTAGAAAACTATGAAACTAGGAATTAGTTTCATATTTTTCCACATATCTTTAAATAAGGACGACCCACAGTTTTTTACCGTACATGTAGTGTGACCAATTTTATTTGTGTAACAGAACAACCCTAGCGGAGAGCTCCCGAGCGATTAGCGGCCGCTCGGGAGCGCTCCGCCCGCGTTTTGGCTCGCACCGCACCGCACGATTGCCCCGTCTAGACGCTTTCGATGACCGACTGTTAGTAGTAGTTAGACTGTGCTTTAGAGCAGTGCGCCGAATACTTCCATGTCCTAAAACGCTTACAGAAATGAAAATTATCCTGAAACCAAAAATCAGACGTATTTACGATGTTAAGTTACAGTCGTAAATTTTTTTTTTTATATTAAGGTATTGAAACGCTTTTATAAATTAGTAAATGTATTTCTAGATTTAAAGTGTTCATAATGACAGCCAAACAGTTTAAAATCAAACAATGATCAACCATCATGATGATGGTGATGATGATTCCTTGATTTGAAATGTTCATATTGACAACCAGTGTTAAGGTTCCTTAAATTTAGTAGTAAATAATCTGAATTTCATATCCATTCCCTTTTTTAATACACCAAACATAGTGAACACTTTTTCTATAATATATTGCTAGTCTTAAGCGTAAGATACACTATAATGATCGAAGACAAGACATAGACAATCCTATTTAAACTTTTCCTTTACACAGTGACGATTATAAATTTGGAAAAGGGAATTTATTGATTATTTCATAATCATGCAAATTTCTCACACGTTTTACGGAGTAAACAATCGAAAATCACATTTTTAATTCATGTTCACTGCCTCGAAAACATTAAATTATTACTCGTTAATATATGAGCAGTTCATTTTGGTGCTAAACTAACATTCTAAACTTGGCATTTCGTGGTCCATGAAATATGACTGTTATAAATTTTACCTCTGATAGGCAGGGAACATGAGGTCAGTTTTATATAGATTATATAAGTACTGGCTTCTACTGACTGACACGTCATATGCTGGTCATAGTCTACGTAAAACTGAATCAACTCTCGTAACGAACATTACTCTATTAATATGTGTGACATGCGGTCATATGTAAAAGTCCATAATATAAAACATGTAACAAAAACAGCTGTGTATCGCCAGCAACGCAAAATCAGGAATTTGCGTTAAAAAAAACCCAAAATTAAATCTTATTAGGTGCTAATTAGGTGTCAAGTGTAAAAATTATGTGCTCTAAAATTTTCACCGCAACGAACTGTTGAAATTTGCATTGCTAACAATACGTATCGCTAGCAACGCAGTTACTATAATAGATATACGATAAATATTAATAGCAAGGAATTAAGTGCTAATTAGGTGCTGCAAGTATAGGCAATGACAAGGTGCCCTCTAATAAACATAAAGTCCTTATTCAGAACAAAGCAGATGCAAAATTCTGGTCTTCTTCTGAAAATGGTAATGAAAAAGGTTCATACCTTATAGTAAGGTATGAACCTTTAATGTAATGGTGGTCCTGGACCCGATTATTCCCAGAATATTACCGTCATATACATCCGACCTCAATAATCTTTCAGGACTTAGTTAGCACTTATTTCTTGCTATTAATATTTATCTCATATGTATTATTGTCACTGCGTTGCTAGCGAAACGTATTGTTAGACAACGCAAATTTCAACAGTTTGTTGCAGTGTAAATTTTAGAGCACCAAATTTTTAATCTTGGCACCTAATTAGCACATAGAAAGCCCCTAATTTTGGTTTTTTTAAAGCCTCCTGAATTTGCGTTGCTGGCGATATACATAACTAACAAAAATTCTGTGGTTCTCGTTAATTATCATATACTGTAACCAAACGTATAACGTAGTCGTAGTCCCCATTGGCCTGTAGTAAGAGTATTGTCAAAGATCCCACGATATCGATACGCGTGTGAGTTAGAGAAAATTAAAACAAGTCGAGTTTTCTGAAGAAAAAAAAAATTATTTCTATAGGTTTGAATACAGATTCTGATAAAGAATTTAACGGGAACCACAGTTAGGCCGGCCACATACATACGGAATTCCGTTTCGATATTCCGATTCGGAATCCCGAACGCAGCAAGTCCATATAAAATCTATGGCCCGTCATACACGTACGGTAGTTTTCCGTTCGAAATTTTGCGGACAAAACGGGATTCCGTATGTGTGTGGCCAATCCGTTCGGAATTCCGAAACGGAATCTCGAAACGGAATTCCGTATCTATGTGGCGAGCCTTATTGTTATATGTTACAGAATAAGCAGAAAAAATGGCATGCGCCAGTCACAATTACTGTATTATAATCTTTATATATAAAAAGTACGTGTCACATTGTCCGCGATAAACTCCTAAACTACTGAACTGATTTTAATGAAATTTTGCACACTGTGTTCAGTTTGGTCCAACTTGAGAGATGGGATAGTTTTTATCCCGATAAGTAACCATCAATGTGTTTTTTTTTGCAGTTTTTTTTTAAGAAATTAAATGGTCGTCGGAAAGGGCGGAACAACGTTTGCCCGGCCAGCTAGTTTAAATATATAATTTAAATGTGTCATAGAAATGTTTTGAAACTAAAGCTGTTGTGTTAAGGTTTATATTACAATATTCTTGATAGTTTGTTATTAATAATGTGTGTGATTAAATTCCCGCGATTTTAGCCTTTAGGCTGAATATGAACTTTTACAAATGACCGTACTACAAGCACGTTTAGTAATGTTATTATAGTGAAACAACATTCTTTACTTATGCATTATTTCCAAAGCTAAAATACCTAAACGGTAAAGACAACTAGACAGAGACGTCTAGTGTTGTGAAGTGTGTTCGCTACACCGAGTGATGACATTTGTGTAGTGTCGGGTATCTTTACTGTAACCTATTTTACGGTTTCGTTTTTACACAATTGGCAACAGTTGCATTTTTTATAAACCGATCCTATTGCAGTTTTATTGCATGTAAAAACCGAGATAATTTAAATAAAGGTATACAGGTGAATCAAAGGGACTAAATGCGCCAGACCAGCGGACTTTCTTAGTATCAGACAAGTGTAATTTCATTAAATTCATCAATTTAACATGTTGTAACAGAAAAACAGCAAGCTAAGATACAGGTAGGTATAAAGTGAGCAGTAGATGAAATAACGGCAATTGTGAGAGTTGTTCATTAGTGGAATGCCGTAAACCGACTGCTGAGGATTAATTGAGGCAATTGCTTTGGAAGAATAATACAACTATCACAACTTTTAGGCAGGTTTACATATTATGCTGTAATGTTTCCAGCTTTACGTAGACAAAACAAACACAACGTTGGTCGTTATAAGAACGCGGCCGCGGCAAAGTGGATTCAAATGCTCATTTAACCCCAAAAAATCTTAACTTTACTAAGGTAAAATAACATTATACTTTGTATAGAGGGAAAGGAAACAGAGACGATAGCATTAATTAGTACCGCTACTAATCGCGTATGATAAAACATTGCCAGGGGGATTTTGAGAGGTGGAAACAGGCACAATTCTTAACTTATCCACACCACGAACGATAATTACGAGTCAGAATGGGGATTATGGTATCAACAGGAGATAGTATCCGGCTCGAGAAGGACCAAGGGACTAAAATTGAGCTTCTTACTGTCCAATGGGCCAGGATCTAACATTTTGAGTTTATTACTAAAATTAGACCCTGATAATATTTAATAAAGTTTGTTGTAATTCCAAAATCGAAAGACAAGATGCAATCTCACTCCAATATACGAACGATTGAGCTATGAACCGGCTTCACGAGAATTGCGTTCCACCTCCCATCCCCTTAGCATATTTACCTGCAATCTAATCTTTAAACAACGTTTAACTTAAATACTAGCATCCCTTCTCCCTTTCCCCACAACACAAAGAGACCAACGAACACAAAACTCCACCGCGGCCGCACTACAGACCGTGACGTGTCAGACGCGTACAATCGCGAGCGGGCCGAGAGCGTGTGTCGTCACCAGACGTTATAATTCCATGTCATGGGCGGCATCATCGCTGAAATCGCTCATAGAGCTCTCCGTATCGCTGGCGTGCACTCCGTTTTGTTTACCCGATGAGGCCGGGGCTCCGCCCATGCCTGTGATCGCGTCCTTCTCGAGGAGCGCCTCTTCAGTGGCGAATCTTCGCACGTAATCTGCGAGAAGTAGCCATGACTTGATTATACAACTTTTTCTTTTTACTCAATCAACATTTAATCTAACAATCCAGTTATTACTTGGGAGAGCCACCCTGCGACGCGAATGGATCGGGAGGGCAATGCTCGTTGTTTGTTACAACGCATTCGATCTTAGCTCTTAGAGGTGAAAACCATCTGCTTTTGCCTCTTAAGCAGCATCCACTTACCATCAGGTGGATTTTGTGCTTGTTTGTCACTACTTACTACTATGAAAAAATTCAAAAAATAACATCTGTTGAAATATTTGCTCGTATTCTATAATTTTATAAGTGTTTTTTACGTGGTAGAGCCATGCTGCAGCTATATTAGTAGTATAGTTGTAGCACAAATGGGTCGGCTCGACCGGGGAAGGACCACGCTCTCACAGAATACCAGCGTAAAATAGCAGCTTAAGACTGCTGTGTTTCGTATGGTGAGTGTAGAGAACCGGAGACCCTTTTTATAAGAAAAGAGGCATTCCATCTTAGTCCTCACGGGGGACAACGCATCTGCATTTTGATTCGCAAACGAGGATAGATGTAGATGTCTATGGGCCACAGCAACCACTTACCATCAGGTGGAATGTGTGCTCGTTTGTCACACTATCCTATAAAAAAAATATCACCACCGCATACCTGAAACCTTTTTCTTGTACTCCTCCGGCTTGTGCAGGTACATGGCAGCGGCGTCACCGTTCAGTGGATCGATAGGGTTCGGGTAAGTCAGAAGCTGCGGTAAGAATGACTCGAAAATGTTTGACAGATCTGCAATAAATTAATCCATGTGAATGTTTTATAAAAGACTAAATTTTGCCTGCGGATTTGCGCGCGTGAAAAAAAAAACACCTTGTCTGGTTTTGCACGATTAATTATATTTTCTTGTTAATTATATGTTGTAGCTATATTATGGTTGTAGCACGAATGGGTCGGCTCGACCGGGGAAGGACCAAGCCCTCACAGAATACGAGAGTAAAATAGCTGAATGCTGTTGAGTTTCGTATGGTGAGTGTAGAGAACCGGAAACGCTTTTTACTGGAAACGAGACATTCCATATAAGTCCTTACAGGTAACAACGCATCTGCATTTTGGTTCTTGATCGAGGATACATGTAGATTGTCTACGGACCACAGCATTACTTACCATCAGGTGGGTTGTGTGCTCGCTTGTCACCCTTCTATAAAAAAGGCGATTGAAAGTGAAATATGATGCCCGTGTCATTTCATCCAAAAGCCATAAGCGAAAATATTACTGGTGGTGGTACTTTCTTTCCAGAAATGAAAAGTTCAAAGTAGAAATATTTTCATTATTCAAAAGCCTTTACAAGGCACATTTTGAAAGTCAAATGCTGCAACAACAAGTAGACTATATTTCTGTTACAATTTAAGCTTATAGAACATATAAATGTAGAAAGTTTAAAAAAGAGTTAAGAAAGGCTGTGTTTGAGTACCTCTTTTGCACTTTGAGTGTTCTGGGTTAAAGAGTGAGGCAGAATACCTCACTCTTCAAGTCTTAGTCATTTAACTAGGTGGTAGTACTCCTTTTCTACTTAAGTGTCCGTCTGAGTATCATCATCATCATCACAGCCCTTCACAAGTTCACTGCTGAACATAGGCCTCCCCCAAGGATTGCAACAAAGCACGGTCCTGAGCCACCTGCATCCGTCGACTTCCTGCATGTCTTACCCAGTCGCCACTCCATCTAGTGGGGGGACGGCTTCACTTCGCCTACCGGTACGAGGCTGCCACTCGAGAACCTTTTTTCCCCCATCGGTTGTCGGTTCTTCGGGTTATATGGCCTTCTTTGTTTGAAGTTACCACTTCATCATCAGATCATTTGTCACTTCAGTTTTATTTAAAAAAAAACATCAAGAGTGACAACGCATCTGCGACTTTCTTTGTTTGAAGTTAGTTGTAGGTGCCTTTGAAGTGCAGTAGGCACTTATAATCACGTGGACAGTTAGCTCATTTTTCTCGTCCAAGTTTTTGATGGTTCAATGAATCAGTGAGTGGCACTTATCAGAACTTAATACTATAATAGGCTTTTACTCAAGAATTTTGGAATTATAAGTATTCAAGGAAAGCCGTGGTAGCTCAGATGGTTAGCGCTCGCTGTAAATTTCACAGTACGCGAGCAAACCGGGTTCGATCCTCGCCGGCACCAATGAAATTGTTAATTGCAATTTTAAGTGCTGATTTACCACGTGCTCGGCGGTGAAGGAAAACATCGTGAGGAAACCTGCATGTCTGAGGAATAAGAAAAAAAAATATTTCGAAGACATGTGAAGTTCGCCAACACGCATTGGGGCAGCGCGGCGGACACTTCCTTGCCTTAAAAGTCTCTCAGAAATGAGGGAAGGCCTGTGCCCAGCAGTGGGACATATTTAGGCTGTAACTTTAAGGGGGGGCATTAATAGTTTGTGAGTTATGAAGAGGCCGAAATTGGCCTGAAATCGTTCGTCTAAACAACGCGTTGCCCTTTTCTTTCCGAACTTGGCTGGCACAATACTGTGTCTGGAAATAAATGTTAAAAAATTATTTATTTTTATCAAAACGAAGAGAATGAGCTCTTACCTTTTTTAACGATTGAAGCTCTATCTTACGTCCCTTTTATTTGTATGGTATTGCGGTTTGTGGTAAAGAAGGAGGCCTATGTTGGTAGACCGCCGAGTTAAACAGTGTATAGTCACATAAAACTATTCAAAATCTTTACTATAGTCAACAAAAAGCTACAGATTACGACGAAAAATATTCAAGAACACTAGCTAGATGAAGTTACTAAACTCACCATACAGCGCCGTCCAGGCTTGGTTAATAACGTCCAAGCAGACAGTACCGGATACCTCGTCAATGTTCGGATGATACACCTTATTCATGAAGCCGATGGACGGCGACTTGAACGGGTAATGATCGGGCAAGTGGACTCGAACGCGCCACACGCCACCCTCGTACGGAGCTGAAAGTATGGTAGCAGTATAAGCAATAGTTATCCGGCTCGAGGGAACAAAAACTTTTCTATTGCTTTATATAAAAAAATACTTAAGCACGCTCGTAGAGGAATTAAATGTAAGGCAGCGGGGGAGGGGGGGGGGGGGCTCTAGTTACTTGATATCGCAATACTATATATTGAAATACTTCAAACAAATAATAAAATATCTTGTGGTTGTAATAGTGAAGTGAAGAATAACACTTTTCGTCACGCACTTATTGTATAAGTCAACTTAGATAAAGTCCAAAAATTTGGCAGATCAATTATCCACACCAGCGAGTGGCCATACCAGAGAATTTTCTTCACTTGAGAGCTGAGACTTGGTTATCCCCAAACAATTTAAGTAAACGTACCTGTATACTGTATATATATAGTCTTGGGTTCGAAATCTAGGAAGCAGCATTTGTGCAAATACACAAATTGTGGATATTTGGACCTGGGTCCTAGTACTCGTGTTTCTAATAACACATCCAATCCAATAAGTTACAACGAGAAAGTGTTTCTGTTATAGCTCGTAAATTATATTCTGTACAGTTGACAAATCTGTTTATATAACCGGAGGATATCGTTGGAGTGTTAACCGTTAAGGTAGTTATCTACTTCTCATATGATCATTACGGCCCATGGTACAAGCCCACAGCTGAACATAGGTCTCCACAAAGACTACCACAGAACAGTCCTAAGTCACCTACATCAATCATCTTCCTGTATGTCTTACTGGGTCGTTACTCGATCTAGAGGGCCGCTCAAAGCACCAGTAGGAGAACTCTTTTTCCACGAAAAATATTATTAACTATTACCAAACCGCCTGCAAGAATGGCAACTAGAACATAAAAATATGCCCGAAATTACCAACGATGTCATAATTATATTAACGGCCTAACTCATAAAAATCGACTAGTGATGAAACGATTATCCCTTAGCGATTACGATCATTGCACTTAATAATCGACGATTACGATTATTTGTTTTTAAATAAAACATAATATTACCGATAAAATAGCTTAATACCATAAACTAATTCAAATAACCTTTGCTGAGGAACTAATATTCAAATTCAAAGAATTAAATTTTTTTGTTAATAAAACATTCATTTCTAGCTTTTCAGACGTTAATCAATTCCTTTTTTCGTTTTGATTCAACCTAGCAGTGGAAAATAACCTCTTCGACGCTACGGACAATGATTTGATTGAAAGATATTTTTTTGATATACATTAACAATTTGATAATCACAATAATAATCGTGAAATATATATAATCGTCAATTACGATTAATCGTAACCGAAATCGTTTCATCTCTAAAATCAACGTCAATTTAAGAAAGTTGCTCTCTCCCTTTTCATTAAATGATAAAGGAAAGAGACAGCTATATAGATCATTAATAATTTATTTTAGTAAACGATAAACAACGATTATGAATAAGACTGTATATATCTTTACATAATATTTACTTTTACGGTGGCTGAGCGGATTGATTTATTCGGATGTTCTCTGAACGAGTAACAACACAAAAACTTTTGTTATTTCTATGGTTGAGTTTATAGAATTATGGTATCTAATACAGGGTTGACCGTGGCAGATTTACAACTTTAAATTTAAATATTTTTTAAACCATTGCGGTTCAACCATAAACAACCCTCGGTCAGGCCCTAACCGGACGTCAAGGACCAAAGATAACATTAAACGTGTTGAAAGCAGCGTACTGCAAAATCCGCGCCAGTCCGTGCGCAAGAGAGTATGGTCTTTGACACTACCAGAAACGACCGTGCAGCGAATTTTAAGCAAAGACATGAAATTTCATCCATATAAGGTCCAGTTGGTGCAGGCTCTTAAACAAGATGACTTCATGGCACGTAAGGAGTTCTGTGGAAACGTGCTAAGCCGATTTCCAACTGTAAACACAATTTGGTTCAGTGACGAAGCACATTTCCATTTAAATGGGTTTCTCAACAAACAAAACTGCCTGTATTGGGCACCAAGAGGACAAAACCCGCGATTAAAGCACCAACTAGCCCTGCACATTCCGAAAGTCACCGTTTGGTCAGCTTTATCAACGAATGGAATAAATGGATCTTTTTTCTTTGAAAATTCCCGTGGAGCAACAGTAACCGTTGATGGTGATGCTTACCGCCGTATGATAAGCGAATATTTTTTGCCGAAACTTTGAGAGCACCAATCGTAAAGTTCACACACGTGGTTCCAACAAGATGGCGCCACAGCTCACACGGCGAGAGACACCATGAGCTTCCTCCGCGAACAGTTCCCTAGAAAACTGATTAGTCGATATGGTGACATCGTGTGGCCACCTAGATCGCCGAATCTCACCCCCTTGGACTTTTTCCTGTGGGGGTATCATATGGCAAAAGTCTATGATAACAACCCACAAGCATATTAGAATTAAAAGAAAATATCGAGCGTGAAGTGAATGCTATTCCGCAATCTGTATTACAACGCGTCGCTCGGAATTGTGTCGAGAGGTTCCGTGAATATGTACGCCTCGATGGAAAACATTTAGACGGCATAATCTTTAAAAAGTAAAACCCGCATGTGTGAAGATTGATTTGGTAGGCAATACATAATTTTTCTTCACATCTACTATTTATTTGTTTCATTTACTAATCGTAAACCTGCCACGGTACACCCGGTATAACTAGTCTGACTTATCTACGAGTATCGCATCAGGACAATCCTGTAATGATAGTAAGTGGATATAATAATAAATAAACATAAAATTTCGGTGTGCGTGTGTTCGTATTTTTGCTCCTCCAAAACGGCTTAATTTTTTTTAAATTTTTATGGGATGTTTCTTAGCTATAGTTGGACCCGGTAGATGGCGCTGTTATCGAGACTCAGAAATGCTACGTGCGAAACCGGGACAGATCGCTAGTTTAAATATAAAATATACTCACTTCCAGGTGGTCCAAAGAATTTCACGCAGAACTCGTTGAGACCACCGAGGATTGTTACTTCATGCTTGCTCTCGATGCTAATAAATGCTTTAAGTCAAGGAAATCATTAACAAAGTAACCTCTATTATTACTATCAATGATTGAAACCTGTTAGCAAGTCTCAGATTCTTTCTGTTAATGAATTATGTTTAGCGACTTTGTCTTTGACTTACAAATAATGTTTAACAAAAACGACCGATCGAAAGCATTTCACATTCTGAATTCGATGCTAAGATATACATACATACATAAACATAAACACTCACGCCTGTCACCTAGAGGGTTAGGCAGAAACTATATAGTATATAGAAGAATGAGAGCCCCGACTTTAGAATGTAAAATAACTTTATTCTTATTACTCGTAGTTGTTTGTAGTCGGCTTTTACTTTTTGTTAAAAAATATTTTATTCGCCATTTTCAGTGGACTAAATAATATCACAATCTCAAGGTCGCCAAAATAGTTCAATTAAAAACTTCATCCCCTATTTCACCACCGTTAGGGATGTAATTTCTTCTCCAAATTTTTATGGGGAAGCTCCTGAAGTATTAACTAGTATTTTTTTTTATTTAATTCAATATCGGTACACGATTGTCAAAGAAATGGGTGAACATACATAAAACATACTTGCAAATAGTCGAACATAGAACCTCTTCTATTTTTAGTCGGGTAAAAATCAGTATAAATTAGTGTTGCCCAAAATCGGTCTTGGTCTTGCAGTCTTGGTCTTGTTCTTGCATTTTTGCAAGACCAAGACCAAGAACAAGACCGCCTCTTTTTAGCAAGACCAAGACCAAGACTGACCGTGCAAGATTTGCGCAAGAACAAGACTTAGCTTGCGAGACTCTTGCGTCTTGCAGTTAGGACTAAGTGTCGTTTCAGGGAGTATAGGAGTTCGGGTATACGCCTAGGGACGAGGGATGAGACGCAAAATATATAATGAAAAAAAATTGGAAAATTGGACTTATGCGCATTACGAACAGTACCATAAATATACATAGCGAATGAAAATATCCATTAAAAGAAAAAAGAGTGTATCCCTAGTTTTGACCATCGGCACTTTGATAGTGCGCGGCGTCTTGTTGTCGGCGTCATCAAAGGTCGGATACAGACCTGTCAAAGAAATTGTGCAGCTATTCGAAAGTACAAGGTCAAGATACACGTGCCGGCGGCTACTATGGATATTGCATACAGTCGTCGCCGCTGCGCCACACGCACTACATTTGACACTGTTTGATTGCCGCCACAGAGTACATGTTTCAAAGAATAAAACAAGTTTCCAGGTGCTCAGAATGGACACGAATACATTATCCTGATCTCGCAAGAAATATTGTAATTAGATAATAGGTGGGTATCATAATAATTTATTCTAGTAAGTAATTATTATAAAATTAACTATATGGATTTATAATAATTACTTACTATTATTGTTATTATTATTACCTAAAAGATAAACATGTTCAGTAAGTTCACTGCAAATCTCGACTTTGCAAATGTGTGTTTTTAAAACACAAAGTGCTCGAATATGTCGTCACACATTTGATAAATATGGTTGACACCATAGCACCTTTAAAACACTTGAAATGTGTAAAAATGGATCTGGATCTTGTCTTCAAGGCTTAGTTATTAAGGAGTTGGAGGGGTACCTAGGTAAACCCAGAGCCGTAATCTCGGAAGACATTTTAGACTGTTGGAGGACGCATGAGACAAAATATCTGATTTTATCGAAGATCGCCCGTGATTTTCTTTTAATACCTGCAACTTCAGTACTTACCTGCTGAGAGATTATTTTCTAAAGCATCATTAGTAATTAGAAAACATAGAAATAGGTTAAGTGATGAGTCAGCCAGATGGTTACTTTGTATTAATGCTTTGTCAAAAGAATAAATATAAAGTACCTAACAGTAATGTCAAAGCTGTTGTGTACATACTGTGAAGTAATTTAATTTGCATCGTATTTTATTTTTTATTTAAATAAATGGTATATTGTATAACTCTTTTATTCCATTTCATATATGGTGAGGGTCCATCAATCTCTTTCTAGAGAAATAATGTTATTTAAAATACAGTGTAGTTATTGCCATTAATTTGTTTTTATATGTATGTTTAACCATGTTTTAGCACATGTAAGCTTATTAAATGTAAACGTTTATTAAGAAACTGACGCCCATGGCCGTGGGATACGGTAGATAGCTCAGTTGGTTAGAGCATCGGCACGGACCGCTTAGGTCGTGGGTTCAAACCCCACCCGGTGTCAGTTGATTTTTCGAATTTCTCATTAAATGTTTAGACATTTATTAATATGGTTGGTCTTTACTATGGCTATGTTAATTCTAGTTCAATATGTACCTACTCTGTTAAGTTGTTCTAAGATCTAAAGTAGTTTAATAAATAGTAATAGGCTAATAGGTCATTGCGAGACTTGCGAGACTCTTGCTGCAAGACCAAGACCAAGACCAAGACTTGGAGCGCAATACCAAGACCAAGACCAGGTGTATTGGCGCAAGACCAAGACCAAGACTTGCTAAGTCTCGTCTTGTTCTTGCATTTGGGCAACACTAGTATAAATGTGGTTCCAGGATTTAAGCCTTAGTAAAGGCAATAACAAACAAAATATAGAGAGCCGTTGCAGCTCAGGTTCTAAGCGCCTGCAGTAAATTTCACAATACGCCAGAAACTCGAGTTAGATACGCACTGGCAATAAAACTGTTAATTGCAACTTTATGTACTGATTCACCGCGTGCTTGGTTATGAAGGAAAACGTCGCCAGAAAACTAGCATGTCTGAGAAAATAAAATAATTTAAACATATTTCTAAGATAGGTGAAGTTATCTACTAATGCAGCGCGGTGGATGGATACTTTTAAAATAAAATAAGTTGATTTTGCATAGACTATAGCGGTGGCCCCGCCCATTACCTCTTTAGCATACTGATTTGTAAGACACTATAAGTTATTTTATCTGCTATAGATATCCCCGTTATGGATTGTACCATACAGGAACACTTCGAGCAAAACCATTTCCATAACTTGTTGAATTCTTGTTGTTGAATGGGATTGATAAATAATGGATGTCATCATTGTTTTACAACATAGAAATACTACTAGCATTGTTAACATTACTAAAACCCTCCTTAATGCATCTGCAATTCCCCTGGTGTTGCAGATGTACAGGGGCGGAGGTAGTCACTCACCAAAAGGTGAGCGACAAGCTTGTTTGTCCCCTCTTATATAGAAAGAAAACCTTGTTAACCCCTCCCGAGTGACGAAGTCACAAAATAAAACTAGTTTTTCAAACAATAACCACCACAAGCGCTCCTAGCCAACAGGGTTGTTAAAGAGTGGAACAAACAAACTGAAAATGTGAATCCTCATCGAGACTCACACGGGATCAGGACATAAATTAAGTAAGAAGTAGTAAAATAAGTTAATTAAACGCGATAAAATCCGTAAAAATTGTTTTATTCAATGTGTAGTGTTCGCGTAAATATAAGAAATCATTAAGAAGTAGTAAGTAAAGTCTTCATTTTTTTTTGTGATGGTAAATAAGAGTTGATGAGTTTAGTTAAAATAATAGTCTGTGATAATACAAGAATCTACTTTGCCTCCTAGAATTTTGATAAATCTATCTGTTGAATTACAACGCAAATTTATGTTGCAGAGGTGAACGACAGAGTCGGGAAGGGACGCCCTAGGCGAAAGTTTATCGACCAAATTGGCGATATATTGAAAATGGGCTAAATTAAGAGTACCCTTAACCAATGAGCGTGTATGCGTAGGTATATAGATGTGGAGGAAACGAGAGAAGTGTGTCAGGATCGTGCCAAATGGAAGTCTATAGTCTCTGCCTACCCCTCTGGGTGACAGGCGTGTTTGTGTTATGTATGTATGAATTACCTAGAACTAGGAATCTTGCGGATATATGCAAACTATAATGTAATGTGTGTGTAGTTCAAATTTTGTGAAAACTAGTGTGTGAAGGACTCAAAAATCCTAGTTTATGCCAGAGACTATTAATTACCTATTTTGTAATAAAACTGAAATAGTTTTAAAAATAAACTTTTTAAATATACAATATTGAAAAGAAAATATATGAAATAACAGGGTACAGACAACTATCGATACCTTCATCTGCTCGCTTGACTAAAATATTATAATAAAGGTAAGTTTAAAACCCTTGAGATTGTAGCAGTAGAAGTAATATAGTCAAATAATTTTTATTCAACATAGATTACCAAGTAATACTTATTGAAAGTCATTTATACATTTACCACTTGTTCGGAAAAAACCTCTGCCCTGGGAAGAACCAGCAAGAAACTCAACAGGAATATTTTTTAATAATTTACAAGCACAATTGAATTATACATTAGAAACAGCATGGTAAGGATCACCTCATTACAGAGAGATATTATCAGTCATGTATTCTCCACTTTTATACATACAGCTTTTGTTCAATAAAAATTTAAAATTTTGATAGACACTCTGTCTGCACTGCAGACAGTTATAAACTTTCATTATACAAATACATTATATTATCTGCGTTATAAATAACATATAGTCTATAATTGTGAAATCCATAGACAAATAGTTTATAAATAATAATTGTGTAGTCTATACTTCCAGTGCAATTTAAATATATATAAGTACTGTATGTTCCTTACAAGTTCAAATAACTTAAAACTTAAATGGTACCTACTGTAATATACTTTTAAAAGTTCTAAGGAGCTTTATTTTATCTCCCTTGTTCTATTCTGATCACAGTCCTTCCCCTTAACCATTAAACTGCATTCATTAAATTTTAAATTAATTTGTGTACATACTTTATCTAGATAATTAAAATGCATTTTTAGATAATCAAACATATTCAGGTCAACTGATAGCCATAAACCATATTTCATTGTGTATTCCCACACAATGTCAACTAAACACCGCAGATAAAAAAATCTTATCAACACTTATCTTATCAATTACTCCAGTCTAAGCATGCCTAGTAACTTCAAGAAATCAACGATTTTAATTCTTCTAGGAACACATTAAATAAACAAATATGTAATATGATAACAGAAATAATATATGGTCTTCAAGAAAGGAGTTAGAATAATAATTTAAAATTAAAAAAAATTGTACCGACCGACTTGTACCGAAAGACTATTGGTGAGACCTTGATCAAATTTATATGGGACCATAGGAGAAGCACCAGCTTTCAAATAAACAAATAATCATCGAAATCGGTTCAGTCAGAAAAAAGTTATGAGGTATCACAGATAAAAACAACATACAGTCGAATTTAGTACCGTGTCCTTTTTGAAGTCGATAGAAAAAGGTTCTCTTACATTCTCTTCCTTTCTAACATCTCTAATTCACTGTACAGTAATGACAACAGTAAATTCTACAATGTGAAATTAGAAAAACACACAGTTACTGACTTCCAACCGTTGAGTTGATGACCCTTCAAAGAAAAACATACCAGTAAAAAGACAAGTGGTAAAATTACAATTTTGTACAACCGATTTCACTTCACCTTTGCTCGGATATATATATATATATATTTTTTTTTGGAGATGTATGACACCTATCTAGATAACCTTGGAAAGTAAATCATTATAATAATATCATTATAATAATAAAATAAATACTAAATTTCATATTAATTGTTAGAGTAGTTTCGAAAAAACCAGTTACTTAACATTACGCATTTTTGCAATGTAAATAAAATATCTATTTTTAAACATGTTTCATGCCACTATTGCCACTTCCTGTGACAAAATAGCATGCAGTCCATCTGATGGCAGGTGTATGCAGCGGCCCATAGACATCTAAATCTATCCTCATTTAAGAATGAAAATGCAGGTGTGTTGCCATTCTTGAGGACATATGAAACACAGCAGTTTTTTATATAGTTTTCCTTTAAAAACATTTTTGACAGGTATTATTTGCAGGTCAACAGGCTATTTGTTCCAGAGTGAGATTTAAGTACCTGTGAAATAATTTGACATAAACCCAGAATGGTGGAGAAGTATACAGTAATAAAATGTGTGAAGAACGGAGATTAATAGTCACTAACGGAATTGGAATATTTCTTTTAGATAAAGGGGTGAGAAAGAATCATTAAGAACTGAATTATATTCTTTTGACGAATGCATGGTTGTTAATATAACTGTGTGAATTATTGTATTCCCACTTTGGAAGAATGTTTTTAGAGAGTAATAAAAATGGAAAGTAATTAACATATAGGAAAATAAAATCAAACTTGCATGAAAAAAAAGTATAAATTTATTTGAGCTAACTGACATGTGCAAAGCCAGCCATCTTAAAAGAAATGAGTTGATGACCTTTGTGTACTAGGAATGTAAGAGAATCCAGAATAGCATGTTCCTGTTGGCAACTCAAAACAATAATCTACAGTTGCCAACCTGCTTTCAAGCATGGTAACTATTGCAAAAGTTTATGTTCAGTAGTGGACTTTTGTAGACAGTAATCAATGAATGAATGAAAAGTATTGTTAAACAATAGTATGAATAGTTTTAATTGTTAATATGAATATATAGAAAATAATTTACCAGTAGTTTATTTTACTGTCTATTGAAACTTGTTTTTTTTTTAATGAATTCTCCATCTTCTGTATCTTATTTACTGTTATGGTGTTTTGAATTTATATTTAGTGAACATGATTTGGAAAAAAGCCAAATTCACTTTTCCATTAAATTCATAGATAAATTAAATAATAAAACTATTATCACAATGTATAAATTAATACGCCATAATAGGAATAGTCATGACAAAGGACTTCATTGTTTTCTTTGTCTAACAAAGTACACATATTATTATCTTACTAATTCAAGCAAAACAGCTCTTTATTATCTCTACTCAAGTTTAGAATAAAATGCAACAACCATTTATCGCAGAACAAAATACGTGCGTATTAGACCTTAGTGAATAGAAAAAAATACGCAATTGAGACCGTGGCCTACATAAAGATTACGAAATAATACAATCTAGAGACGCGGAAGAGCACAACTTGAGAGCATACACTCGTGCGTATTTGCTATGTGATATATATAGATACGTAGCACCACAGCGTTCCACAAAGAATGTACTCTTCTCATGGGTATCTATCTAAAGGTCTCATTAGTTATGAAATATGGGCATACTTGAACTTCAAATCATTTATTATACTTCGGAAACATTCTACAAAAGTTTGATACGGATTTCTATCGATTCTAAATTGAGTCATGACAATCAGCTGATGGCCCTTCAAGCTACCTACTTATTTACATGGTGGCCCTCATTGCAATAGGTGCTTTGTAATGAAGATAACAAAGGATACAGTTTGATGACATCTGTGTCCATACGGCGTTTACCAGCGCTCGGTGACGACATCTTCGTGATCTATTTCGAATAAATCACTATATCGAACACGAACACTAGCACAAAGTCACACTCGACGCAGCGAGACAAATATTTCGTCCACCAGCAGCAGTCAGAAAAATAACATTGTAGAAAAACAATGGACACGATCCATAGACTAAAATTTCGAAGATGATGTGTAGTTATGTGTAATGAAAATCATGTTGTCAACTGTAAAAAGATATTTCGTAACTTTAAAAATATGTTTCAAAAATTTTAAATTAATTTATTTGAACCTCTAATATTAGCATTTTGTATGCAATTTATTACAAAAAAATATTTTACTTTATTACTTTAGGAATGATAATTACGTAATGTTCGAGTATCCGACTAATACCATAAACACAATTCTGGAAGATTATGCGCCAATGCGTCAAAAATAAAAAGTCTGCATTTTTGTCTACGCCCTATCGTCTGAAACCGAAACTTTGCGTGTGTGACTCCGTGGAACATTATTTTTAATTCAATCTAATTATAGATTAAATTCATTTACTTCATCTCAAAGTTAGTCGGGAAAAAGCGCGTCTGAATAGCGACGCTTGTTAAGCGCGCTTTGATTACGAAAACATGTGTTTTGATGTGAACATTGTGTGGTGAGCATTGATGACACTAACCAGAGGATACATGTCAACAATTTGTAATTATCACGTTTGAGAAGGTGTAGAAATTGTTCATTAGTGTGACAGTAATTTGTGTAAATAATATCACCTAAAGTCTAGTTGTGAGGGACTTAAAGAGGCCGGTCAACTTGGTGCGCCGAGTTCACTTCCGGCAGTGATGAGGGGACGGTAGAATCCTAATTGCATTGTATTGTACTCGGCTTCGTGATGGCAAACCCTGGGATTGGGGTTTCATTTGACCCAAATGATATGTCCAGGTAATTATCTCGCTATATCTTTGCATAATTCTCTGCACCTTATAACTTTCTGAGAATATATCGAAACATTTTTCTTCTTATAAATAAAACATCAAGTCAGGTTCAATCTTGAAGTTTTGGAATTAATAGCCTTTCTTTTAATGTTGTCATAATAATTTTGTTACCAATTTTTAAGTTGTTTTAAGGTTACTTTATAGAGAAAGTGTACTGCATTTTGTTTTTTTTATAATTTTAAATAAACAAATCCTTTCTGATGATAAACTTAGAGTGATGGAAAGATAAAATGAAGCATGTAAAGAAGTTATTCATAGAGATATATTAACTAAAGTAAAAACTTACGTAATATAAAAATAAATATGTAACATAAAATATAATTAATATCCATCCAATAAAAAATAAGTATATTGCTTAGTGGATATATTTATATAAATATGAGTGAGCTACTGATAAGATGATTCTGCCAGGTTTTTTAAAGTGTTCACAAACCTTGAATATATAACAATTGTTAGCCATTCTAATTTTAAGAGGAAGTGTAATCCAGAGAATATAGACTGTACAGTGAAGCCAGAGCTATGAGAAGGGCACTTAAGTCAAAGATTATTTGAAGAATGCAGGTTCCTATAATGGCTGAAGCAAAGATAATAAAAGTAGGATAAGATAGAGGAAGAAATAGAGATAAATTAGAGGAAGAAATAGGAAAAGTCAGAATAGAGTGTAGTAAGGTAGTAAGTGTGCACATACTTTGTCATGCAGTTTGGAATAATAAATAGATAATTTGTCATAATTGCAAAGATTGAAAATAAATTCAATGCCATACAATTGAAACAGAAGACAATCATATTTGTCGAACAGATCTGCATTTAAGTCAAATTAACATACATCAGTGTAATCAAGGAAAGAAATAAGGATTGCACTATTAATGTTTTGGTCCTGGATACTAAATGTTAGTCAGATGGTAAGGAATCCACAGGGTACTGGTGATTTTTCAGCTAACAATTCCCAGTTGGGCACGCTAGCTCAAAGTGGATGACTAGGCCAAGATCCTTGGCAGAAGTGTATAATTCTATAATAGAGCTATTGAAACTGAAAGGGGGTAGATTGGGCACTACAGTCTTTTTCAACAGTCAGGTTTTTTTATCTTGCGATAGCTACCTGCTATCATAGACTGACACTTGGATGGATAAACAGTTAGATTAATCCTGTCAGACGAGCTCTTAACATACTTTAGGTTTCTGTTGACCATACCTACAGCAGCAGACACACAATCAACAGTCGCCCATGATTACAACTATAAGTCATCAAAATTTATTCTTGAAAGTTTTTATATAACCTGGCAGAATCTACTCATCTGTACTTCATTCATATCAAACTAAGTTTTTTTTACATAACAGACTTTTACATAAGTCAATTTAATATTAATACATTTGCATGGTGTGCAAATAATAATCCGGTTGCTTATTACAACATATGTAATGTCGCCGGCCCAAATGTCTTTGAGGCTGTTATCAAGCATATGTCTTGATCCTTCCTACTTCATTGGACCTGCTGATTCATTGGGTCAGTTACTCTGTTTCATTTGTCTCTATACAAATTCTATCATATATGTCCTCATTATAAACTCTATCATACAGGAAAACTCTGATCATAGCCTTCTCCACCTTTTCTTAAGCTTTCAATCAATCTCAGTCAATCTTTCAAAAAATCTCTCTTAAAATCAATATCAGAAAAATGTCAATTTCATCAACCAAGGAAACATTTCACTGCTGGATATCCACTTCGTCTATAGGAAAGAAAAGGAAAAGAAATGTAAACAAACATTATAGAGAATTACCTGCCAAAACACAGTAATATAATTTAAAATGTTGTACAGCAGACTTCAATATAAGTTATTTAAGAATAACTCAAAAACTATTGGTCTGACCTTGATCAAATTCATATGGGACCACACAAGAACTATCAGCTTTCATATAAAAAAAGTATAAAGTACAAAGTTATGAGGTAACACACATAAAAAAAAACATACAGTCGAATTGAGTACCGTCTCCTTTTTGGAAGTCAGCAGAAAACAAGTATTCTAAATTATCTCAGTAAAAATTAAATAAAATGCAAACATAAAACAATGAAAGCAAAAAATGGAAATTGTATGTCTAAAACGAGGTAAGCAAGTCTACATAATATTTGGTGCCGAAAATACTGGTTTTCAATAAAGTATTCAAGTTTACCATTATTGTCAGGTTAGACAGTTAGATTGTCATGTACTGCATAATACATATAGCATCTGTGTGTGATATTCAGCATAGTTAAGGATTTGTAAGATCTTTCTTTTCCTAAAGTACTTGTTGCCAGTGATGACCAGTGTGTGTTGCCAGTAATCACTATGAGACTGAAACATGGGCCTTTATTACTAGCCATATGGGAAAGTTCAAAATCACTTAGCACTCAATAGAAAGGCATATGCAGGGAAATTCATTAATGCTTCCTTGAAGGTGACACTTTGGTGACCTAGTCTCTTTTTTTTATTAGATTAAATAAATTAGCCCATTGTTAGTTTGAACAGTTATTATCCTTTTTTTTATTATAGCTGTGTCTACACCTTCAATCAGATTAAATTTTTTCACACTCACCCGTCACCCAGATGGGTAGGCAGAGACTGTGGACTTCCATTTGGCACAATACACACTTATTGGTTAAAGGTACTCTTAATTTTTTTGTGAGAAAACAAAAATTGAGTGAGTTCAAGAATTAGTTTGAATAACTTGGATTAATTTCAGATTTTAGATTTATAAAAAAATTAGGACAGTAGGTGTATATATATATATATATATATATATATATATATATATATATATATATATATATATATATATATATATATGTATATATGTATATATATATAAGCTGATTGTACATACTACATACAAACCTTTTACTTTTATTTTTAAATTTATGCTTAAAATCCAATGATCCAATGACAGACATTATAATTTTATTTGTGTGTAAGTACAGATTAATTTTAAATGCTTTGTCAGCTTAACAAACAAATTTAGGATAACAATAAATGTAGGTATTAACAATCAACAGCTTATAAATGTATGCATTAGGTCCTTCTGTCTTTTGGAACAGAGTTGATTTTTGAATAACTCTGAAACTTAATCTACAACACATTATAATGGTCAAGTAACTATTCAAGTTACATAATAGACACCTTGTTATATTTGGACACATGGAACTGCTATACAATTTTGGATATGATGGTGTGTACATTCCTAGAATTATGTATCATATGAATAAATTAAATAGTTTCAAATAAAGTTCTCTGTTGTTCTTGCAATTCACCTTTTAACTTGTTTATTTTAATTTCTTTTATGTATTCTATTTAATTGAAAAAGAAAAATGACAAATATTTATTCAGATGTCCTCAGTCACTTTTTCAACAGAGACTCAACCACCTTTGCATGACAGAACTATATTGAATCAGTGTGTAAGCAATCTCAGGTGCATTCTCTATTTGATCAATCATAGTCCTGATTCCATTCTGTTATTGAGAATTTTTGACAGCCCAATAATAAATTTTCCAAATTAGAAACTGGGACCGCATAATCTGCAGTCCCGCTTATGACCTGGCAAATATGCCCACCTCCTCAGACCTAGGATTTACGAAAATATTAGTTTATTAATAAAATATTACTGTAATGGTGGCCACCTCAGCTAAAGCTGTACCAAATATCCACCAATGCTGATTTTTAACTGGCATCAGAAGTTTCTCATGAATTAGTTTAGGTACTTAATAAAATAATTGTTATAAAATTTGCATCATGTACATATATTGCGTAAATTGTGCATTACATAGAGACAACACTTTGTAGCATTCTTTGGAGAAGGGTATTCAGCATTGGACTTGCAAAGGCCTGTAATGATTGATGATGACAATAATGATGAGAATTAGAGTTAAAACAGGAAGTTGATGGATGCAGGTGGCTCAGGACCATGCTATGTAGCGTTCCTTTAAGGCCTCCTATGTTCAGCAGTAGACTTGACTTGAGCTGGTATGATGAAAATAAGGATGAGTGTTAGAGTTTAAACACATTGATCATAAGCTGTAATAATCCTGATAAGAATGTCAGGACTGTCATGAAATTATTGTTTTGTCATTGGTTCTTAATGTGTTTGCAAAGAACAATGGCAGACTTTCATACATAAAATTAGTTGAGAAGAAATGGTAGCGTCTATATACCAAAAATATCTTAAAATGTTAAGCCTCAGTCCCTTAATAACTCTTTCAAAGAATTTTGTACTGAGAAGGCGTCAAAAAAAAGATATTTACATTTGAACTTTTTAGGTTATGTCCTATGTCACTTGGAAAAAGTCATGCTTCCTGTGATTTTTTTATGTTAGCTTAATACATAATTGAGAGTTTTTAGATTATTGTATCTCTATTATATATTTGTATATTATAAATGTATATTTCTGGCATGGCTCCAGGTCTTTTGTATCATAGTGACATTCTCAGAAGGGCTAGAACCCAGAGCCATAAAGCCAGTAAAAAACAGTGACATTTTATTTTAGCTAGTGTTGGCGTAACATTCAATGGAATTGTTACATAGTACTATGATTGAGATAATGTATTATTGTATGAAATTCTTTGTAAGAGACTTATTCTCAGCCATATCACTTTTATTTTTATTATTACTGATAGTACAGTTATTACTAATAATAACTTAATATAAAAATATTTTGTGTGTTGTGTTGGTAGTCTTACAAAATGTATACGAAAATAGTATAAATATACTAAATGGCAACATTTGAATAGAGTAAAATGATTTAAGTCATTTGATATTCCCAAAAATGTTTGTTTTTTTCTGTGGCTTTAATTAAAATACATTTTTATTTGAAAAATCATAGAAAAATAATAAAACTCATTTTATATATAACTTATTTCTAGACGCTATAATTTTTGTCAACTATTTTACTGCCATTGCTCTTTCAGATTATTCAGATAT